TTAGAAAGCGTATAAAAAGTAGACAAAGAATGGTTGATGTACGCTCCAGACGTTTATAGTACGCAGAAAATCAGATAATTCTTGCATTGGCAGCGTAAATGTTGTAAAAAACAATTACTACAAAAAAAAAAAACAAAATTAATGCCAAACCATTCTGTGACAAATATTTGTCTTCCGTTAGAATTTGCGTGTGAGTTGATTCAAAACTTCATGTTTGAGACTCGAAACCCTGAGCAAAGAACGAACCCACCATGTGGATTAAATCAATCCTTTTTGCGCGGCTCAAAGCGGAGCTCGCCTTCCGCAGCATGTTTTAAAGTTCGCTCGGCGTTCGTGCCTCATTCAGCAGTACGTAAGGCCCGCGCAACTTGCCCGATGTTCCACTTCATTAGCGCGGGCTGAGCCTTGTCATGCCGTGTTCGAGACTTGATAAAGTTTTCAACAATATCCGAGGAGGATACGTTGTCAAAACTATTTAAGTAATGAAACCTCATAAACGAAATTCATTGTGAACTCGACCATTTTCAAAATTTTCGTGTTAAGAACAATGTGCAGTAAGTGTTTAATATACTAAGGAGCTGAAAGCCGTGTAGAGACTGCTACGCTCGATCTTAAAAACTGATGTATGTAGACTGTATGGTGTAGAACTAAACGGGTTTTTGGGCTAGTTTCAGTACCAAGTTTAAAAAAAGAACTTTCGTCTCATTTCCTTTCTAAAGTAATCGGTGTCAGTTTACATGTTCTTAAATATAACTATAGCAATAAATTCCAGGAGCATCTCGATTTTATTGTAAATAATATTTTGTAACCCAAATATTAAAATCATGACCCAAAAATATATGTCTGCATTAAAGAGAGTTTGACTTTATATCATAAAATATCACCGACGACGTTTTATAAGTTCCTTTATACTCGGTTGCATTAATAGAATATAATTCGGTTAATTAAAACTAAAGTTAAATCTGAAGAAAAATAGGGAGCTGGCCAGCAAAAGTAATTCTTCAAAGAGCGACAATGTCAAAGTCGAAATTCTCGAAGGTAAACAAAATATTAGCACCGACTAAAGTTGTTAATCTTCTTCGGCCTCCGGTTTCTCTGCCTTTGATCGTAGAATTCTTGGTAAAATGCCTCGTCAATTTTACCGAACGATTGCCTTTCTCTGGATTGCTGTGCGGGATTCCGATCGGTTCCCGTTGTCTTAATCTAAACTTAACTATTCGAAGCAATATACACAAAACCTTTTCTTCAAGGAAGGCCACGGCGAAGTTTCCTCGTGAGAATTCTTCGCAAAAAGACGAAACTCGTAGGCTGTTCTAATATCTACTTTAGGGGGTAGTAATATTGAATTTTATAAAAGTGAAACTCGCTTAGCTAAGCTTTCTAACGATTTCTGTAAATTATAGAAGAATTTGTGAACGTTTTAAAAGAATTGTTATTAAAAAGACCAGTAGTAAAAAAAAAATGTAAGTGTATAAACAATGTAGAGTCTGAGGCGCTTTTTTCATTACGCTGTATATCGACATTAGGCGGGCGTGCGCGACACCTGGCGATGGCGTCGGGGAAAAGTTTTGAGTGTTTTTGTCGACGTAATGTGAAACATTTATTAAATTGAGCTATAAAAGGAAGATCCACTAAAACGGGCGGCGTGCGCTCGGACGACGCCGAAAATTTAATAAAGTAAGCTATACCCATAGCCTGCATTAGGTGCTCTGCACCCAATTTTATAAAGGTGAAATTTCCTATGGCGATATTATAATAAAGGAAGATTTCCTTTAATTCGCCTTTATAACAAGATTATCATATAGAAACATGATAGGAATTTACCTTGCCTAATTTAATACCAAAGTGAATTTCTTATAAAAGAATATTTTATTAAACGTATTATAGATTTTAAAATATGAGACAGGGTTTTGAGGCTGTTGATCAATGTTTGGAAAATTTTTACTGTTGAATAAAAAGTATTTACAAAATATAAGGTAAGGAGCCGCAAGAGCACCTCGCACTTTTTCAATTTCATGCAAAATAATATAGAAAAGAAAAAAAATAAGATAGACTCACTTTTTTCCGCAAAACTTAACTTTCTATTTATTCATATTTACAAATACGCTATTGCGACATTTTGACATTTTGAGAGCTATGCCTCTCAAAATAGACTCATTGTAGTATAAATAAAGATAGAACTACACAATCTAGCGTTGGCTAGAAATCTCTATAAATAACTAAGTTCAACAATGTCCAATAAGCACTACGAGTACAAACATTTAGGTTCAGTAGCGAAACGTGATAGGTCTTAAAATTTACGATTTTGTTTATTGAAACTAATAAATAAATTCAATAATTTTCCCAGGCATGCAAATGTTTTGTTAATATAATTAGAGCAATTGTTTATTTAACGCAAATTATCCACAAATAGTCAAAAATGTAAATATAAAAGTAAATTAATCATTAATAGTGTGCAAAGAAAATAAACTGAAAACAGAAAGAAAACACATATTTTGAGTGATATTGATTTATTTATAAGAAATGAACAATTATCAATCTTTTAATTTATTTCAAGAACTTTCTAGCCTTTTTTTTAATTACAAGTTATATTATATAACAAACTAGAAATTTTGTAATCTTATAGATAACCTCCTTTCCAAACGGAACAGGCCGTGGGGTGTAGGTCCCACATTTATCGCTTTTCAGTGAACTCGGTGGAACTGCCACGTGCCTAAATGGACTTTGAAACTTCCTGCCGCCTAACTAATATTATCAACGCACGTGTGTTTACAAATAACGACGCACGTATGCGTTCGGAAATCATTTCGGACCGGAGCGGGCTAACTTTAGGATGTTCGTCGTGCGCTTAAATGAAGCCGTGAGTAAGCTAGTGCGTTCACGTGTTCGCGAGTAAGACGATATCATCAATACAATTAAACATTACGATTGGTTTGAAGCTCATTAAGCCTATGATATGTATGTTGCATAGTTTTCGATAATTTAGAGAAAATGTAGAAATAAAATTGCATAAAATATGTTTCAATGAAACACTGACAGTTTCAATGAAACATTCCACGCATATTTGGTAAGAAATATTAATTTCATTTTTTCATAAGAATCGCCAAAAAGAGATAGAAGTACAACGTCCCGTAAATTGGAAATTTTTTATATTTAAATTGCTCATATAATTTCAAGTACTTGAATTTATGGTTTAAAGGCTCTTTCAGATAAATAAAATTTAATTTAAATGGAAAATAGAATTTAAGTACTTCACACAGACAACAATACGTTTTCCCAATGGGAACAACCACGCAATTTGTTATATTTAGCTCAAACACAAAAATAAACAAATTTGTAAAACGACACTCCCTACACTTTCCCTCGGCTACTGAGTACAGATAAATTTTAATGGAGTGTCGCGGAGTTATCGACAGGGGGCGGGCCGGTCGTCCGCTAAAAACGTACCGAAGATAACGGCGAGCGGAACAATAGCCAGGAGCGACCGATACATAAAATTTATTTCGGCGTAGCACTAAAAAGTGGGGCGTTACGACCACTATAAAAAGAAATGCTGTGTAAAAACGATCCTTTTAGTCAGTCTAACCGCTGCGCCGGGCTGCGCTCGCCGGGGCGGGCGGGATCGCGAAAGCTTTCATAAAACTGTACGTAACAGCCGATAGCGGCGCTGAACTGTTTAACTGAAAACTGGCGCCGCGCGAAGCTACAGCTCGCGGCACTCACATCCAATCGGACCATCGATTTCAACGAGTTTAACTTTTTGATAGTTCTGTGGGATTTCAATTTGGTTTTATTGAAATTTCTTAGGAATATTACTCATAAAAAAGTAAAAGAAAACGTTCAAGCTGAATTACTTTCTACGTTCGAATAATACGAGAACTAAAAAATTGGAACAAAGTTCCGTTCGCTACATGTAAAATATATTTTATGAATTGAATAATAACAGTGAAAATAATTAAAACGTTCGAAAGTAATTAAATAAATAATAATAATATACGTGAATAGATAGTAAGAAATATTTGTATATTATAAAAAAAAAAACATTTTTTTTTGTTTTTCATTTTTATATTATATAATATAATATTAAATAATATTATAAAATTTATTAAAATTCTAAAAAAAAGCACTAAACAGCGCCATCTGTTTTATTCATTAAAGGCTTTGTTAAGTTCGTCGATTTACACAATTACGTAATTATGAAATCGATAATTGATGTCACTTCCACATATGTGTATAAGTATTTATTTATTGAAAGTTTAAAATTGAACATTCCCTAGAACTGAAACAATCCCAGAGTTTCATTTAATATTTTAGGAAAAAAGGTAGGAGACGCGAAAATTATATTTTGATATTTAAAATTGTTAATATTTTTTCAGTAACAATAAACTTCTACAAAAAGTTTTCGGATAGTCGTTACTTAGAATCGAACATGCTCCATAAAAAAAGAAAAGCAGTTTTCAGGAAGTTATTCCTGGCATCAGTATTGTAGTATAATATAAGCAGAAACGAATCATTTCCTCTTGGAAACCAAGCAAACATAATGACTTGAATTAAGGGAAAAGTTACTTTTTATCATTGTATTATTTCAATTTCAACATTTTTTTTTGGAAATATGTCTTAAATATAGAAAGAAATTTGTTGTCTGTAAAGTCGGTTTACGGACGATAATTTTACGTGATAATGTCATAAGAAACCATTGATTAAAAATTGCATTATTTTATGAATTGAATTATTATCACTGAATTATCATTATTTTGTATAATAGGCAGGAATTAATTGAAAATGACAATGTTTTCAATAAATTAACATTTATTTGCACTCGTTAATTCAAATATTTTTCTAGGAATTATATATTATATACACACGTAAAGAAATATATTAACAACTTTTGAAAATTTTGAAATGAAAAATACAACAAAAAGAATGAAGGAAAAGTGATAAAACATTATAATAAATTTTATTAGAAGTTACAAAAAAAAAATGCGACACCAAAAAAAGCCAACATCACGCGGTGTTCCCCAGGAGGTCACCCATCTAAGTCCTAATCGCCCCCAACGCTGTTTAACTTTGGTGATCTGACGAGAACCGATATATTCAGCGTGGTAGGACGTTGGCAAATAAATTTATAAAAAAATTAACTAAAGCAACAGCGGTCGCCATTTTCCGTTGTGGTTACACCTTTTTTCATATTGCTCCCATCTGCCATGCTCCCGAAAGTAACATGTTATAAGGAACTTCGTTCCTAAAAACTAACAAAACCCGTTAATATAAATATTCAAGTTCATACGATCATTGTCAACAGTGTAATTTAAAAAACGCAATTTCTACACATTTTATACCAATAATTATTTTTTTTGGCATAATATTCATTTATTTTTTATTAAGTTAGGCCCATGTAATTTATCATAATACATAAAATCCAAGGAAAGCTAATAGGTCTAAAAATGAGTAGTTACGTCAAAGGTTTATTTCAACGCATGACCCTTCAGGGATCGAGTGCGAGCATTCTCAGCCATAAACCATGTGATTAGACGTCACCCCGAGGACACATAATTATACGTATAATTTTAGGGTTAACTCATCGTTATCAGTTCCAGTGTTAAACTTTTGGTCATGATATTTTGATGTAAATAGCGTATTGGGGGTATGCGGCTATTTTCGGTAGTTTAGTCCCAGAAGAAGCCAGCGACAAATCAACCTTTAATATAAAATTAGGTGCAATCTTTACTTTACATACATACTAGCTTCAGAAAAAACCATCGTAATAATTTTCTAAATCCCAAAATGATTGGCGTTTGTCTGTTTATTTCATGAGTTTTCATGTCTAAATCACCTAACCCATTTAAATGAATATCGGTACAAACAAGCTTGACATTTGAAAATAGGTGTGAAATAAATGTCCACCCCTAAAACAATATTTTATAGCGCCATCTAGCAGTGTGTACTTGACAATGTTTACAAGTGTCAGATATATTTATATTATGAGTGAAATTAGAAATGAAACTGGGAGCAAGTGAGGGAAAATAATCTTTGTCTATGTCTCGATAAAATGAAAAGAGTTCAATTGGCCACACGATATTCTACGAAAATATTAAAACATAAATCGAATGCCGTTTTGGAAACAACCGACTTAATATTTTTAAAGCTATTTAAAACAGGATTTTAAAAAAATGTTTCTTGCATCGCTCAAAGTGCACTAAACCGATTGAGCTTGAATTTTTAACAAATCTAAAGTCAATAAAACTTTTTCAAATGCCTTTAATGCCGTAAACCCGATCTTAATCATTCGATTTGTTTAGAAGTAACTTAAAAAACACTTTCTTGAAACTCTTCTTCAACGATATCTCTTGATCAAATGAACTTATTTCATTGGAGTTTACGACATTCACCGTACTTTTTAGGGAAATAAAGCCGTCTTATTTTTGGACTTCATCCGTTCAATAGTTCATTGTTAATGAGAAAATTAACTTTTTTTTTTTGAAATTTTTGTCCAATTAACAATTAGATACTAAAATCTGAAAGTACGCTTGTCAAAAATACCTTCTTGAAACTAAGTTCTTTTTACTTTATAAATATATTAAATAACAGTATCAGTGAAATAAATTAACAACTTATGAGAACATTTAAACGGGAAATACAAAATGATATCTTCAGAAAAATTTACACAAAAATTACTTAAAATTGGATATAATACATATAAAATAGTGAATTATAAGGGCACATGTATCAAAAAAAAAAAATTAAAACGAGTGGTGTCGTGGGACACCAGGTAGGAACGAAGTTCCTTCGGTTAATGTAGAATCGACACAATTTGCAAAAAAAAAAAATCGTGCTCAATTTTATGTAGGTTTTCTTGATTTTACTCTTAAATTTTGCTGATTAGTTTTTATTTAAGTACAGGAAAGTATTTAGGAAATTCAGTATTTTAAGAAATAAAATAAATTACGTAAAATAAAAAAAAATCGTAATTCAAATTATCAACTAAAATAACAAAATATGTCTCTTTATTTTTGTTTGACAACACAAAATTACATAGAAATAGAATAATTACCCACTATTATCACTGTCAATTGCATTCAAGTCACTTGTTAGTTCACTTGCCATTGTTACTATATTTATTATTGTTTTAACGATTTGAAATTATATGAAAAAAATAAACGTGACTACTCACGAGTAAAATGTATCTATAATGTGAATATTAGCCACGTGCTTGTCCATGAATTCATGAGTATATACTATGCATTGGCGGGGTGGGGTGGTAATAGAGAGAGAAGGAACGAGAGAACGAAAAGAAAGAGGGGGAAAGAGAAAGATATAATACACTACTCGCTTGTGTATACGACTGTCGCGCCTGAGCACGTCTCATTTAACGGTTTTATTCCACGGACTTTTTCTTACGGTTTTACTATCACATTTTTTTCAGTTCGGTCGCGCAGTAAAATCCCTATCTCCTCCAAGCCCGCCGTAAGGAACTTCGTTCCAATTGAGAACTAAACTGCGTTATCGTTTTTTCAATTAAAAATTTTGTTTAATCCGTTAATTTGCATCGATAATAGATGTCAGTTTTATATGTATAAAATTCATCATTATTATTCATCTCAAATGTTATGTAACATGATAAATATTTTTTATCGAAATGCTGAAAACCTAAATTAGCGCCGTGACGCGCGCGGCCGCCACCACACTCGCTCAATAACTAGCGTCCGTTAAGGGTAGAGAGTCGCTGCGAGTCGAATGGAAAAGTGACGATTTTGACGACTAACACCACCCGTAAGCGGCGTTAAGGAATTTCGTTCCAAAAATTTCGAAAGCCCGATGAATCGTACAAAAAATTATCGAATAATTTCAGAAATTTGCGCGAACAGACTGACAATCGGACGAGAAATTTAAAAATCGTTTGTTTTCTTTTATTCGTTACCTCCTACTTTATGCACAAACTAGTGTAAGTGCACCCTAAAAACAAAGCCGAATAAAAACAGCGCTATCGCCTTTTGCACATCGTAACGGATGCTGCGGTGCGGCGGCCGGTCGGAGAAAAAAGGTCCGGCCGGCGCGTTGCGCGCTGAAATTCAAAGCACGTTCAGCGTTTATTAACATATCGGCCATAAAGCGACCGCACGCGAATCCGAGTCGATGTTTTTCTTTACATCTCCGCCCTGGACGGCGTTAGTGGCGCGCGACGCGTCCGAACCGACGTCGTCTCCGAGATTTAAAAACGACTCAGTATTAAGTCGGCGCTTAATAAATGTAGCTAAAAGATCGGAACTTGGAAGTATAGCGTTCCGTGAGCGCATTCGGTTCAAATATATATTGAATAATTAGATTTTGACGTGACAACGTCTTAAATTAGGTTGCGGCTGGGAGTCACTTATGAAAGTGTAACGCTCGGTAACGTAACGATGAGTCACCGAACGAGAGAGGCCGCCGAATGCCTGCGTCTCTCCACTCAACTATGATCGGTCTGCCGCGCGCGCAGCACTAGAGAATTAGTGCATAGCTTGCAAATGTATTGCAAGTTATTGTATGTATATTTGTATATAAATACGTATGTATGTGTAAAGGTAAAAAATTTTGTTAATATGAAATTCAGTGCGAGATTCTTTGTAAATTAATGTTTTAAATATAATTCTTTGTATAAATAAATGTTTTAAATTGTTACTATTATTTCATCCTTCTTCCTACTATACGAATGAATATTCACATTAAAATGATTTTACCATTCAAAGTCGTTGTCACGTAAAACTTTCGCCCGTATACCGACTTTACAGGCAACCAAATTTTTATTTAATTTTCCTGGGTATATAGAATGTACTTTGAATATATGAATGGCACTAAATAAACCGCCACATAATTCCGAGTTATCTTTTACGAAGAGAATACAACACACTGTATACTCGCGACCTATACAATCGTTAAGCGTAAAATTTGTTCCAATATTTGAAATAAACTGTATTTAATTTGAAAATATTCTGGTCATCAATGATCTATATACAGTATCGTAAAATTGGTGAATGTGAATTAAAACATTTGACGTGCAGACTTACATTATATTTGTGAATTTCTTTATTTAACACTTTATTTCAGCTTGCTCTTAATTTCGTCTTTAACTCGCATCGAACAAGAATTTTTTAATTCGATTGTAAGAAAATTATTTCTAATAATACAAATAAATATTATTATACCCGTTAAACGGCAATGTATCAAAAAGGTGTATTATTTATCTATTTAAGGATATAACGAGCTCGAAACATTTAGGTCAGGCCGCAAATTCCGGCACGGCGCCGGCGGTACCGCCGTTGTAATACCTATAATAATCCGGCACCGGCGGGCGCGCACGGGGATACGCCCGAACGCAACGCTAAATCAAAACAAACTCTCCGGATCCCTTTCATCAACTTTCTGAACAATGTTTTTCATTAAAAATATCTTCTCTCTCTCAATTATTAAGCGAAAGAAAGGCCCGCGGCGCGGGGCGCGGGGGACGCGGGGAGCCAAGATTTCTGCGATGCCCAAGTTTGGAATGTTAACAGATAATTACGAACAAGTTTTAGTTAACACGAGACATTTAACAGATGCTTTATTCGGGGGCGGGCGGCCGCGGCGCGCGATGAATGCTAATGAGGGCGCGCCGCCCGCCGCCGACTCTCTACACGGGATAATACGATTTAGATTCAGTCGGCCGGCGCCGGCGGACGGAGGCCTGCGCCGGGCCCCGGGTTAATTACATTGGAGCACAAAAGGCGGATAAACACGCGGCCAACAGTTACAGCAGCACGTGACAAATCGCTGCCGACAAATACGTTTTCTGTTTTATTTAACTCGCTATCCATTTCGTAAGGATTTACTACGTTTTGAGTCTCGTTTATTGCTTGTTAATACTTTCAATTTACATTTTTTTAGATGTTAGTAAGGGAAGAACATAAAGATTTCTTGTATAGCCATTACATTGGTAAAACAATATTTTAAATAAAATTAATTCATATCAATAAGTATTTTAATTATTACTATGTGTTGATAATAGCCCTAAAATTTGATATTCAATACCAAATAATTACATTACTTTCCAAACTTCTTGTATTAAAACGCAAAGAATATTTGATTTGTTGTC